CCAAGAAATGCTGGTATTATTAGAAAACGAGGTCATTTAGAAGAAACACAAGAATGTAAGATCAAAATGGAAAATGAACAAGTAGTACATAACTATAGTCATGCCCCAGTCAATGTAGTTCCATCAAGAAACCTTTCTTAAAATATATACTAACTGTCTTCAACGTCAAGTAATCTCAAGATCTTAAAAGAATGACTTATAAATAAATGGCATTGATACATCTAGAATGTGCCAGAATTCAAGCAGATAATGTAACCTGCCAAACTCAAATTACCTCTGCCCAGTTGAATGCTACCATCCCTTTTTTTTTTGAAAGAATACTAGTTTTTGCTACTTGAATCTCTTGCTCTGTGTTGTTCTTTTGTAGTGGTTTGTGCTGTGACCCCCTCTCTGTTTTTATAGCCGAGAGATGATTTCTCTGCTCTGTTTTTTCCTTTACTTCAACTTCTTCTTCATCCAACCACCCCACGCACTTAAGAGCTTGATTTATCCATTTTTGGATAAAGCTTTTGCTGTTTTCTGTCACCATCACATTCTCTCCTCCATTCAGTAACCACTAGGAGCCGTGTCTTTGTGATACAAATTAACTTTTACAGATTCATGTATGTAAAACGAAAAAAGTGGCTTATAGTAGCATAAACTTGCTATAATAAGTACAATGGAAGACACATTGTTTCAACATTTCTCAAATTGTTCCACTTTTGCTCTAGCTTTTTGCTGATTGAGTAAGGAGGAGTCATGTGGATGTGGAACGATTTAGAATTATTTTTATTATACAAAGAATATACAAGAAGTGGTTTGTAGTAGCACACAAGTTTAAGAATTCAAATCCAACTATTTCTTTGGTCTTAGCTAATTTTGGTAGTGCTTATTGAATAAGGAGGATTCATGTGTATGTGGGATCAATTTAGAAATACTTTTACTAATCGGAGTAAAAGTGAAACGAAGACGTTAAAGAAAAACACGATGGAGATGATGAGGTGGCAGCTAAGGCCATTTTTGTTGGTTGTGTGATTGATTTTGTTGGTTGTGTGATTGGTTTTCAAATCGTTTTTGTCACGCTCGATTTATGTGTTTTCTTAGTGATGAGGTGGTGGCTTATTTGGGTCTATGTGATGTAATTTACTTTTACATATATATATATAAAACGAAAATAGTATATATAGTAAGTAAAATGGAAGACACAGAGTCTCAACATTTTCTACATTTTTCCACTTTTGCTCTACAGCTTTTTTGCTGATTGGGTGATGGACGAGTCATGATGTGTATGTGCAACGATTTAGAATTTTTTGTTTTGCTAATCTGACAGTGAGAAACGAAGACGTTCATGAAAACACCAGGAGATAATGAGGTGGTAGCAAGGGCCATTTTTGTTGGCTGTGTGATTTATTTTATACTAGTGTCAAAATGGTTTTTTTTTTTTAATACTTCTAATTTGATAATTGATATTTTTGATAATTGATATATGTGAATACTATTATATAATAAGATTTTTATAAATTGATATATTCCGGGCTACATATTTTTGATAATTGATATATTTTAAAGTATTTTTTATTTTAAAAAGTTTCTTATTATGTGACAAAAATATGTGGTGTTGTACTTAATACTCTAACCAAAAAGCCTTTGTTAGTTAATCTATCTATATCTTGTAATTCCCTTTATTTTTAGCCGTCTCCATTCATTTTATTCCTTTTCATCTTTTAGTTTTATTTTATTAATTATGCATTTGACTTTTGTTTTCAAATTTTTGTAGTCCTCCTCTCTGTTTTAGTTTTCAATATATTTTTTGATTCTACGATATATTTTATGCTCTTCTGAGATTTGATGATCTATCATTTTAATTATTTACAATTTTATGTTATTTTATGACATATCTTAACATAAAAATATGTTATTTTGTGACATAACTTAAGATATGTTATTGGACCTCGTAACTATTGTCACTAACTGTTATAACCTCTAATTTATTAATAAAATCTTGACATTGTCCGATTAGTGAAATTTTTTAGAGTCAATTAGCTGTATGCTAATTATTTCAAATAATTAGTTTGTACATACACAACTTTTATTCTTTGCAAAACAAGAGAGAGAAATTTTTGGTTTCGAAAAAATCGGACGAATTTACCCCTGGAATAAGACACATGTGTATTTCCCGATATATCATGATATATAATCAAAAAGAGAATAGTTAGAAAAACCAGAAACTGATGTTGGATCATAAAAAACCAATCAATCTCTATGACGACTCTGCAAAGAATCCTCCAAATCAAGATCAACACCAACACGATTCAAGACATTATCTTCCACTTATTCTCAAGTTCCTTAAACCTCTCAACATCAAACTTATGACTCTTAAGCAACTTCCTCTGCCTAGAAAGAAACAACATTTTCATGAAATCTTGATACGTTGGGTCTCTTTAAGTCATCAAGAAATAAGCATAACCCACAATAATCCTAGTAGTTGTAGTGAAAAACGTTATTTGTTCTTAGCGTCGTCGGTTGACGGTGACTCAAATCATTTCTAACAGAAGCTCAATAATAACGAATGACACCCAAACATACGACGTCTCTATACCGAAATTTGTTTAAGGTTTATGAAGTACATTTTAATCAGAAAAATACGACGAGTTTAATGAATTCAAAATATCATAATTTTAGATGCAATTAGTTTCACAATTAAGAAGAATCATTTGTTTGGGGTTTTCATAAAGTAAAGAAAAAAAAAAGAAAAAAATAAATAATAAAAGGAAAGAGAAAAAAAGAATGAAGGAAGAAAGAATGAAGTGTTTGATTTTAGGGATATTTTAGTCTTTTTGTCATGTTTTCAAATGATCATTTATTTACATATTTACCACTTCTCCTTTGACTAAAATACTTCTCAGTCTTAAGGTACGTAGTGTAATTACTCAATTTTTTATCTAACAAACAATAATACATAAATAAATTGAAACAGTAGATTTATCTAGAATTTTAAATTCTTTCAAATCCAAAACCAAGCCTTCTTTTTTCGCATCCTATTAAATTATTAATATTAACATGGAAAAAGCTGAACTGAACCTAGGCTAATAGCACAGTAAAGTCTGTTTTTCTATTTTGTATTACTACTGGTTCTGCAAAAGCATATATCAATTTTTGGAAAGAGTAGAACTTAAACGAAAATAAGCAAAAATAGGGCCCATGAGGAAAACGACGTAGAAAAACGACGTAGAAAAACGACGTAGAAAGTGGAGGTCATGCAATAAAAGCATTTCCATCGGGATCAAATGAGCGCAAAAGTATGTGAGAAATAGAAACGGCACTAAGGGGGGTGTATTGAATTAAAGATTTGGGTGGATTTGGTGGAATTTAGGAAATTTTGGATTTTGAGAAAGTTATGTGATTTTTTAGGATACTTTTGGTGGAATTGTTAGAATTTTCATTTTAGAAAAGGAAATACTAGTTTGTTATTTGGTGAGATTTAAGAGATAATATTGGATGATTTGGTGAGATTTTTAAAACAAAAATAGGAAAACTGGATTTACAAAAAAAACTTATCTCCAACATTGTCTAGAAAATTTGGGATCTCTTTGCAACGTTGCTTTACAAAAAAATAGAAAAATTGGATTCTTTCTGCAACACGTTCCAAAACACGTTCAACGTTGTTTGTGGTAAAAGATAAAGAAATCATGGTGTGTTGTGGTTATAAAAAAGTTTATGTTTTTGTATTAGGACTTCAAATTAAAAACTTGAAACTGAGAGAGATTTTGTTGGTAATGAATTTGATTTGCCATTGAAATCTTTTGTTTTTTTCTGCAAGTGAAGAACAAAAAAAAGGTGACAGATTTGTTTTGACTTTTGACGATGAGAATGAGAAAGTGAAAGGACAACTTCTCTTATGTTTATTTTGTTAAAAGAAGTTTTTTCCAAATAACACCTCTCAAGGTGTGATTTCTTTAATTGAATTTCTCATGTAAAATTGTATCCAAAGTCTCCCAAAATCAATGTTATGGCTTTTTTAAAAAAACAAAGTTGTGTTTTCAATAACAGTTGATTTGATATCAAGTTTAGAAATTATAGTTTGAATAACAAGAGATTGTGAGTGATTTTATTGAAATCTCAATTTCAATAACATTGGATTTGAGAAGAGATTTGAAAATCACAAATTCAATAACAGGTGATTTTAGTAAAAACCCAAAATTTTCTAAAATCCTAGTTCCAATACACCCCCCTAAAAAAATAAGTACTTTCAAATCTCTATTTAAGAAACTCCTTTGACATATGTTTTTGTATGACTGGTTCTTCATTTTCATTGATTTAAAATTTTAAATATAAAGCTAAATTATATTAATATATTATATTTAAAAGACTCAGTGAGTTTCTCATTGATAAAGATGCTTTAAGGGGTATATGCTTTAAAAAAAAATTAATGTGAATCTTTATGAATCAAAGAAATGTAATTATCCGTACAACTTAGGAAAAAAAAAAGCTATCCATACAAATGGTTTTTTTTTTATTATTATTTATGAATGTGGCAATTTCGTAGTTTGGGATAAAGAAAGGTCTACTTTGGTCACTGTTTTCTTCTTTTAAAGCCGGCGAGAGAATTGTCGAAAAATCAAAGAAAAAGGGACAAACTTTAGAAAAGCTTATGGATCCGATCGAATCTGTGGATTACAATGGCTTTGAGACCATTAAATGTAACTCCGACGTCGACCATGGATCGAAGAAAGTTGTGTCTCGGAAGCAAAAACCGGCGGATCAGTCGGCGAAGATGGTCGCTGCTTATGTGGAGGATGAGTGGAGCGGTGCCGGTGAGGCGATATCTAAAAGCCGATCGAATTGTGACGGTGATGAGGGATATGATTTCGACAACGAGATAGCGACGAAGGATGTGAAACCCAACAAGGAGACGAAGCCGAAAGTGTCTTTGGCCGAAGCTGCCGCAAAGATCGATCCTTGGGATCTTGCGGATTCCCTCGCCAAAATATCGGTAAGCGCACGGCTCGCTCCTCTATATAAGCCGATATTCTGATGTAAATAATCCGATAAGCTTACAAAAATCTTTCGCTTTCTTTTGATAGAAATCGTATCATGAGATGAGAAAATGTCTCGCAAGACCCCTTTTGGAGGTGCGGCTATTGAGATTTGTCGATTACCTTGGGATAACACTTTCCGCTGTGCAATTTCCATGGCTGGAGACGTTCAAGCCTTGGCCCAAGCTCATAGATCTGATCGATGTGAGCTCTTTTTTCCCCTGAGATTTTCGAATCAAATTCTAG